AATAAAGTTTGTTCAAAAGAACATAAAAAATCAGACTGAAAAAAGAAAACCCTTGAATCTCAAATGTAGTTTTAAATATTTTTTTCAGTTCATATTCTTTTTTTTTTTCAGTTTCAAATTTCTTTTTCTTTTGAACAAACTTTACAGCCCTAATTTAGCTCCATGAAGCACTCTCTCCTAACCACACTTGAAAAAACAGTAGATCTGTAAATCAACCTAAGCTGCTGTGCTCAAACTACAGGTGTCAATCATCTCCTTCCTGCTGACTCTCTGATTCCAGCTGGACTTCTGGCGCCACCCGGTGTCCACGGAGCTTCCCGTTGACGTCCGAGTGCCCCGCAGCCACCTTGGTGCCGTGAAGGAGTACCTGCACGCCCACAGCATCCCTTTCACTGTCATGATTGACGACGTCCAGGTTGGTAGTCCTCAGAGGTTTACTGGTTGACTCAGAAGGTGACATGAAGTCACGTGTGAGCTTAGCATTGTCTTCCCTGAACATTCAGGAGCTGCTCGATCAGGAAAAAGCTGAGATGAGGGAGAACCTTATCAGGGAGCGTAACACCAGGAACTTCAACTTTGCAGCCTATCATCCTCTGGAGACGGTACGACTCATACATCGGCAAATCGTTTATTTATTTATTCTGGCTGAAATAAACTCCAAATTCACGATTGTGAACTGCAACCGATGACTTTCATGTCTCCACAATGTGATGGAATGGAAAAGTTTTACAGCTGGAGCTGTTGCTGAAAGGTTTTGTCTAAAGCAGGGGTGTCAAACTCCAGTCCTCAAGGGCCGCTGTCCTGCAGTGTTTAGATGTGCCACAGGTAAAAAACTGTGGAATGAAATGGCTTAATTACCTCCTCCCTGTGTAGATCGGTTCTCCTGAGCCTTGCTAATGACCTAATTATTCTTTTCAGGTGTGGTGCAGCAGAGGCACATCTAAAAGTTGCAGGACTTCGGCCCTTGAGGACTGGAGTTAAGAGATGTCTCTGACTGTGACCATGAAAACTGTGCTGGTGATTTGACATCACTTGCTACAATGTAATAACAGTCAGTTTTGTGCCATACTTCTTTCCACATTTTGTTGTGAATATAACTCTTTTGTCTCCCTTTAAAAAAAGAAGCAAAAACCAATGTGACCACTATCATGTTTTACTGTTCAGGTTGTGTATTCAGTGTCGGGCAGTGTTAGCCACACACCGCATTTTGCATGTAGGTTAAAGTTTAGTCTCGTGTGACCAGAGCGCCTCTTTACTGTGTTCCTTACATGGCTTGAGAAAAACTACAACCTGGAATTTGTGTGGCGTTGTTTCACAATGGCTTTCTTCTTACAAACATTCCAAAACGGTCAGATTTGTTGAGTGAACCTATCACTGTCCAGTCAACAGGTTCTCCCATCTGAGCTAGCTCTTTCTGCGTTACCATGGGCCTCTCTCCTCCTTTGATAAATGTTCTTCTTGTCTTGTCTATCACTTCAGGTCAGCGTTCTCAAATACCAGTCTTCAAGGGCCGCTGTCCTGCAACTTTCAAATGTGTCACTTGTCCGACACATGTGGATTAAATAGTGAAGCTGCTTCACTAGCACAGTCAAGCTCTACAGAGCTCTGCTAACGGGCTAAAATTGTAATCAAGTGTGCCAAAGCAAAGAGACATCTCAAAGTTGCAGGATACCGGCCATTGAGGACTGGAGTTTGAGATCATTGGTGTACGGAGAATTTGCCTTCACACTGCAAACAAAAAAACAAACATTTACTATTTATTTTCATCCCCTTTGTTGCCATTTTATTCCTAATTGTAAAAATTGCCTTACCTGTCTTTGTGTGCTATCAAACAGGCTACATGTTTTTGTTGGTCTCAGGTTTTGATCCATCTCCATACAGATCTACAGCTGGATGGACACGCTGGTGGCTCAGCACCCAAACCTGGTGACTAAGCTGGAAATTGGCAGATCTTATGAGAACAGACCCATGTACGTCCTCAAGGTAGGGAAACTGTTGGCTTTGCTTTCATTAGACAACACAATTAGCTTGCGTAGACACCCTGTTCCATAACTTCCTTTAAATCAATATGTTTGCTAACTTTGTATTTAGTTCAGCACTGGAGGTACCAATCGCCCTGCTATCTGGATGGACTTGGGTATTCACTCCAGGGAGTGGGTTTCTCAGGCCACTGGGGTGTGGACGGCCAACAAGGTACAAAACGCCATTGACGATACGTGGGTCTCTATAGGACTCCCCTGATCTATGTGGTGTGTTTATGAATAATTGTGTCAAATCAGTACATTGTGCTCTCACCCAGATCGCCACTGATTATGGCACCGATGCCTCTCTGACCTCCGTTCTGAACACCATGGACATTTACATGCTTATTGTGGCCAACCCTGATGGTTATGTTTTCTCCCACACCAATGTAAGGAACCACCACTGCTTCAAATTACTGTTTCCTGTTAGAATTTAGATTGAGTGTTCCCACAGCTATAGTCGTACCTCTCCCATTTCTCCATTTTTTAAATAAAAGGGGCATTATTATGTAAAATTGACTTTTTAGAGGAGGCTTAGAGGAGCCTTAAGGCGATGACTACCTGGAGGTGGAGTTTCATAAAGAGCAGGAGTTTCTTAAAGAGACAGAGACCGAATTTCAAGGCATTAAATTACAAAGCCAAATTTCTTTTTAAGTCATATTTGATATATACAACATTTTTATAACAATTGGAGGAAACATAGGTACTTGATTGTGCTATAAAATGGCAATATATGCTTGGGCATAATACTGCCCCTATAAAGAGCTTAATAAAATACTCTATAGGATACACACTGACTGGTGCTGTGTGATTTACAGGACCGGATGTGGCGTAAGACGCGTTCTCCAAACTCAGGCTCGTTGTGTGTCGGAGTCGATCCCAACAGGAACTGGGATGCAGGATTTGGTGGTCAGTGATTTTCAGTTACAGCAACATCCTTGAATTTGTTTAGCATAACCAGGATATGTTTTCAGTCCAGATCAGTTATTTAAAAAACGGGACAATACATATTAATGAAGGTTAGCATGTAAATATGTAAGATTATAGCCAAGAGACTAAACTTTTGTGTCCAGGTCCCGGTTCCAGTACCTCTCCCTGCTCTGATGCCTATAGGGGCCCCTTTGCTCACTCTGAGATCGAGGTGAAGAACATTGTGAACCTGGTCCAGAGCCATGGCAACTTCAAGTCCTTCATCTCCGTCCACGCCTACTCCCAGCTCCTCATGTACCCCTATGGCTACACCTGCAAGAGCGCTGCTGATCAGGCTGAGCTGGTATTAAATTAGGCTCTAGAGTAATCCAGGAGAGGGAACACTGAAGATAAACCTTGAACTTACCTTTATGTTGAAAATATTTCTTTTAAGGTAGTCAAACAAATGTTTGAGGTTGCTAGCTGTATCTGTTCACATGCCAGCTGATCTTGAGTCTTTCAGTTTAATTTACTACAAGACCTGGAAAAGCACAGGAATGTCTCATCGGCTGTTGCAAAAGCTAAAAGTTTACTCCACTTAACAACCACCTTAACTTCACCGTAGTAGCACAGATATTGTTAGGTTTTCTTGTGAATATGTAGATAAAACAAAATCTACTATAGAGCGGTACACTACAGATCCTACTCCATCATACCTAGCCTTATTTAAAATTTTTCAGCTGTTAAAATCATACTATGTTTTATAAGACCTGCATTGTTTCTGGCCAATACTTTACACAATTGTACTTTTGGGCACAGGACTATGTTGCCCGTGCTGCAGTGCAGAAGCTCACGTCCCTCTACGGCACCACATACAAGGTTGGAAACATCTGCAACATCATCTGTAAGTAACACTTTCCCTCAGAGCAACATTTCAAACCCTACTACTAATGTATGATCATGTTTGCCATCTTCTTCTTCTCTTTTCAGATCAAGCCAGCGGTGGGAGCATTGACTGGTCCTACGATGTGGGCATCAAATACTCTTTTGCCTTTGAGCTGAGGGACACCGGTTGGTATGGTTTCATCCTTCCTGCCAATCAGATTATCCCAACTGCCTCAGAGACTTGGTTAGCCCTGAAGCACATCATGGAGTATGTTCGTGACCACCCATATTAGTGGGCTATTGATTCTGGGACCAATAAAGCTACTTTTTGTCTCAGTGTATGTTGTGTCTTTGTGTTTTAAGGTTGTATTTAACACATTTGATATCGGGCTTATGGCACCAGTAGGATGGACGCAAGTCAAGGTTTAGGGCTTTGGGTCAAAGCCTTCAGTTTTATTTGAATTACCATGAACACAGAAGTACTTAAAACTTTGAACTACACTCCCTTTGGTCCCCATAAACATATCTGCCAAGTCTGAAGTAAACTGGATGAAAGTTCATGACGGCATTGATAAGAAATAAAAGTCCTCTAAATGTGTCTTCTTCACATCTTCATTTTTTTTTCTTTCTTCAAACATTTGTTGATGTTCACTATATGGGACCAAGTGACAAGGTTATGGGTCAGACATGAAGGCAATGAAATTCATTGCTAAGAAAGAAACAAAAAATGAAGGTAGAAAGATATAAGTGGCAATGTGAGAAAAAAGAGGATCAGCGATTATGAAAAGCTAAGGAGAGTCAATATGCTTTAATTACAGAGTAACAATCTTCAGCAACTGAATTATTTCAGACATGGTAAGGTAATGTAATTTTATTTTATTTATATAGCACATTTTCAGCAACAAGGCAATTCAAAGCGCTTTATATGAGTTAGGAGGAAATATAAGCGAAATAACAAACCAAAGGAAAGAGTATGGCATGTTTTCTTCAAATCTAAACAGATTGAGAAATATACTCTTTCCATGAATGCTATTCTCTTGTAAGATTACTGTTAGACCTCACCTGATTATTTTTGCCTTTAAACAGTGAATTAAATTGAGACATGTCTTTTAGTAACAAAAACAGATTTAAAAATAATAATAAATAGCCTTTATTAATTAATGCAAGAGGAGTGCATACTGCATAGAAGCTTTCCATAACTTTAGAAGCCTAACAGCTTTTGTAATTACAGTGTTTTTTGTTTTTTTTGAAAGGTATGCTTGTTTTCCCGCCTCTGACACTCCGTCTTGTTCAGAAGGTTGTTGCGCAGATAATTTAGCTGCTGGATCCACCGTGGACCAACATGGGTTATCTCAAACAAATTGATATTGAAAACTTCAAGTCGTGGCGTGGGAAGCAAGTCATTGGACCTTTTATGCGATTTAATTGTATTATAGGCACAAATGGCTCCGGTAAGTGAACCTTTGAATACTGTGCTAACCTTCTTGTTAGCTAGCAATGTACAAACTGCGTCAACTAGCTTGTTAAACTGATGTTGGGCCGCTCAGTTTATTATGATAAAAAGGGATGTTAATGCACTAAGTATGAAGATAACATATAGTCAAATTGGAGCCTTGGAGTTAAAAGACCTCAGAATATAATTTATAAAGGAAATAAATATGCTAGCGGAACTTGTTAACCGACCATTCTTTTCTTTTCTAATGTTACTCGGTGGTCATTTTGGCTGTGTACTGCTATGTTATTGAGATATTGTAATTGTTTAATGTATGTAAAATCGCTTAAAGGTAAGTCCAATGTGATGGACGCCCTGAGCTTCGCCATAGGTGAGAGGGTCGCCTCTCTCCGGGTGAAGCACCTGCGGGACCTGATCCACGGAGCCCACATCGGTAAACCTGTGTCCGACACCGCGCGTGTGGCGCTGCGCTTCTTGAATGACGACGAGATAGAGACGATTTTTTCTCGTACAATAACAGGTTAGTGCAGTAAGTCGATTTAGGCCAGTGGTGCCCAGAGTCGGTCCTCGAGGGACTAGGGAGAGAACTAAAACACGCAGGAAGTGCCCAAAAGAGAACAGTCATTTTATAAAGAATAGAATAGGTGTAAGAGGCACTTCCAGTTCTTCTCCATCATAAATAATGCACAGTATAAATTAACCCACGAAGAACAGCAGGTAAAACTATTTTCTTTTCGATGACCAAAAAAAGAGAAAGTGTGATATAATGCCCAATTGAATGAATAGAAACAAAATACAATTCCCAAGGATTGTATGGTCAGATTTTATTTTGATAAAAAGCACATTTTAAAAATAACACATCTACATTTGACTAACTGATGAGCACCGTTTTATAGATTTTTGATAAGTCCTGAATGGTTTTGATTAAACCCATATTGCCTTTGATAAACAGTTAAGTTTTGTACACTTCTGAGATTGTGCATCTCCTGCCCCCTTCATAGCCATAAATTATTCTTCACTTTGTTTTTTCATATTTCCAGGGGACTCTTCTGCATATCATATTAATGCATCTCATGTTTCGCATGCTAAATACATCGAGGAGCTTGAAAAGATTGGCATCGTGACCAAAGCTCAGAACTGTGTGGTGTTCCAGGTAAGATGTTAAGATGTTGTAGCATTGTAATTAGATTTATTTATTTTATTTAATTTTATTTTTTTTTCCCAAAAATTTAATTGTCATCCCTGCCCTAATTCAGGATAATGATATTTTAATGGTCTAATCTTTACATACATCTTTACGAATGATAACAGCTGAAAGCTGAATTTGTAAAAGGCTAAATTAAGAGAAACGGGACAAAAAGTGGCACAAAATGGAAAACGGTGGAGAAAGTAAAGATGTAATTCACCATGTTTCTCTGAAGGGGGCGGTGGAGGCCATAGCTTTGAAGGACCCAAAGGAGAGGACTAAGATGTTGGAGTGCATCTGTCAGTCCAAGCAGTACGCTGCAGAATACAAGACGAAGAAAGAAGCTCTGATGAAGGCCAAGGAGGACACACAGTTTCACTTCAACAAGAAAAAATCGGCCACTGTGGAACGGAAACAGGTGTCCCTGGAAAAAGTCGAGGTGAATAAAATTAGTAATGCATTTAGAGCTTTTAGTAAAATTAGTATTTCACCTGCAAGCTAATAACCTGAAAGCAAAATAAGTTGGTGTAGTTGTGCTACATTTATTGACAGAGTGTCATTAAAACATCTTAAATTAATTTGTCTAAATTAGAGCCTTGAAATGATTGAAATTAATTAAATAAAGTAGGTTAGCCGTTAACATGCTAATCACAGTTCTTCAATTTTGTGGGACTTTTCTGTCAGGCAAAAGTTTGAACAGAAATCTTCATTGTGTTCTTTGATGGTTGAGGCTACCGCTAACCAGGTGCTAATATTCCCTTGCTAGCTAATTCACTAGCTTGTTTTGTGTTAACTGGCAAATTTATCGGCTGTTGGCTGGACGAAGTTCATACGTTTCTGTGGAGACACACATCTTGAATTCCATACGTAAAGGCCTTTAAAAAAAGTTGTAAAAACTGAAATTAGAGTTGGTGAAACCAGAAATAAAACCTGATTTATTTTTCTAGCTGAAGCTATATTTTTATAGTGTAAAAGTAGAAAAAAAGGGGGGCCTGAAATATTAATTAATTTTGTTCTTAATCTAAATGTATATCTTGTGACCTGGTAAGTTGTTGCTTTTTTGAAAAATGTCACCCAAATTCTTCACCAAAAATCGTTCATCTTTGGTCTGGTCAGACTCTTAACCGGCTCATCCCATATTTCAGGCCCAGAAATACCAGGAGTTGGTGGATGACCTGAACCAGAAGCGTCTGCAGCTGAGTCTTTTTGAGCTTTATCACAACGAGAAGGGCATCGACGCCATCAGTGACACGCTGAGGGGGAGGAAGGAGATTGCAGCGGAAATGAACCGGGAGTTAGGTGCTGCGGAGCAGAGCGTCAAAGCCCACAAAAAAGAACATGGACGCCTCACTAGAGAGGTGCAGCACATGGACAAGGAGATCCGGTGTGTTTGTCCTGACAGCATTAAAAGCTTTTTTTTTTTTTTTTTTTTTTTTTTATAGTTTTGAGTAAAATCATGTTTCATCTTTGCGTACCATTAATCTTCTCTGCTGTTTCCTCGTGGCAAAGCGGTCAGGAGCAAGTCCTGACTCAGTCCAGGTCGCAGTACATCAAAGCCAAGGTGAACACGTCCCATCATGTGAAGAAGGCCGAAGAGATCGGCGATGCCGTGAAGAAGAAGAGACGGGCGATGGCTGCCAAGCAGCAGCAGCTGGAGGAGGATCAGCAGGAAGTGGTCGAGCTCCAGAGGGCCTGGAGGAGATACGAGAAGCAGACCCAGGAAGGAGTGGCGAGGGGCAAAGACATCAGTCTGGATGTAGATCAGGTAACCGTGCAGCCATGTGCAAACACCGCTCATAAAATCATGCTGGAAATATCCATTTTCAAGTTTCAAATAGTAAAAAAGAATTTTAAAAAAACAAAGGTTTGAAACTTGAGACACATGTATGAAGAAAATGTGTTTATTGTATAACTTCAGCGTAAATAATTCAAGAATGACTACATTAATTTACAAGAACATATTTCAACCTTTTTTTTATAGAATCTAAAGCCCTATTCTTGCATTCATAAAGCAGTTCAAAGCTTCATTCTCAACCACTTCGTGTAGCTTCATGTCCTTGCAGATGAATGTGGCATCAGCCTCCGTTAGTTTCTGGACTTGCAGAGAATTTTGAGTTTCAAATGCCTTCTCCAGCTGCGTTTGCCTTGGGAGAGGCACAGACTGCGTTTGTGTTTCGTTAAAAGGCTTCGGCAACCCGTTGTGTTTCCACAACATAGCAAAGCTTGCATACATCTCAGTTCTTATCCAGTTCATTGTTTAAATCCAAAATGTTTTCAGACATCAAGATCAATATTTAATTCATGTATCTAAAATCTTTTTTGTGAGGCAAAAGTTTGAAAAGGTGTGTGCATCTTTTCTTCATTTCAGACTGACTCAAGACAGTTGATGATGTCACAGTTGCTAACTAGCTGCTAGCATACTCTTGCTCACTAGTTTTTTGACATCTATCATTGAGGAGGAACAAACGATAATAAAGCCACTTGGAGTGAAATCCAACACACGGAACAACAAAAGTTTAACATTTTTCAACTTCTGAACAATGAATACAAAATAGGTGTTTATTAGGGAATCAGCTTATTCTCAGTCAGACAGGCCAGGATCAGAACCAGGGAATCCAAATTGGGGTCAGGCGGTTCCTGATCTCAGGGTCAGACAGACATGGGGCCAAAGCCAGGAGGTACAAATCCAGTGGAGGTCAGGATCGGGGACAGGAGAGGCACCTGGGCAGAAGGGAAGAGACAGACAGGTTAGTTACCGGGCAATTCGCTCATGTAGCTACAGCAGGCCTGAAGGTGTTACCACTGAGGGTTTCACAACTAGGGCTGTATAAATAAATTGATTTGGTGATATATATCGATATTTTCCGCCCTCGGAAAGTATCGATTTTTCATCCGCGAGTATCAATCCGTTAAACCATAGGTGTCCATAGCCTGACAGCTCTTTTTAACGTCTAGTTTGTTACGGTAGCAGCGAGACTCCGCCTCCCTCAGTCTAACTTTCAACTCGAGCTTAAAGTGCACATTATAAACTACACACCAGTTTTTAAATTGTGTTAATAGGCCAAGTATAACCGGAGTTATGCTAAAATTAGTAAACCATATTTTTCCGAATGTCAGAGAAATGTCAAAAGCGCCGCCATTCCCCGGCTTTTCCGATTATGTGAGAGGGAATGAGCTTCCAAACGTACAAAACGAAACGAAACATTAGATTCCTGTGTTTTTGGAAATGTAAAATCTTCAATAAATAACAATGGGCTGTATTTTGTTGCTGAGGAACGAAGTAAAGTTGCGCAAGTAACCGTGAAAGAGAAACGGAACGGAGAAGCGGCAAAAGCAGTGAAATCGCGAAATTAATGCAAATTTCGACTGGTAGCATTCACTTCGTAATTAGTTTTTAGTTTAGCGGTTTCTGTTCTGTATATAAAGGATTATCTGAAGAATGAACATGGGTTGATAACATCCGAAGCGGGCGCGAAGCGGGCGCGAAGCGGGCGCGAAGCGGCGCTGTGTTTTGAGCAGGAAGACGAAGAGGAAAAACCCCCAGCCGGAATCCGCAACGCAGTGAGGATTTCCATGATAACAATGGCTGATCGATCATTCTTATTAGCAACAGACAAAAAGTATCAGAGACTGAGAGTACTATGAGATGCTGGCAGTCTGAGAGGCAGCTACTCAGAGATCCAAGCAGGGGAATAGCGGCGCTGCGTAGCTGCAGGGAGTCGATCACTACGGGATGAGGCGGAGCCACTACTTGATCAGTTAGGCGAAAGCAGCTTACAGCCACAGCTAACTCCGGGAGCCAAGGTAGAAAAGCCTTTTTCCCCATAGTCCAAAAGACTGCATTTGTGGCTGCATTTTTACTCCAAAATGCAGGCACAGTGTCCAAAAGAAAAAACATAAGTGCAATCATTTGCATATTGAGAGTCTACAGAGGCTGATACCTCCCTCCTCTGCTCCTGGATTACCGTTTAAACTTTTGAGTTTTATGTCAAATCCACATGAATTAAATTCCAGCTGCAGACTGTTAGACTGTCCAATCAGAGTCAGGTATTGTGTAGTTGGCGCTTTTAATCAGTTTTCAGTTAACTAAATTCAAGTCTATGGAACACAAAATGCCACTAAAATCACTCTGTCCTTCTAAAATCTTTCAGAAAATCGTAAAAATGCACTGAATCATAGTGAATTGTATTGCTCAACAAATATTGTGACACATATCGTATTGTGACCAGAATATTGTATATCGTATCATGAAATTATTGTATCACTACACCCCTATTCACAACAATCTGACACCGTGTAGGGGGAAGATCTGTCCTTATATGGCAGCAGCTGGAGATCAGGGTGATGATGATGATCAGGTGTGAGTGGTCACAGCTCAGCAGCAGCTGTGACAAAAAGTCACAGCAGCTTACAGCTGCAAAACATCATGGAGCTCATACGAGCTCCATGATGTTTTGATGATAGCTGGATGGCCATAAGTCTCTGGGAAATATGTCCATTAAATCCTCTGTGCTGTGTCTCTCTAAGGCTTTAGTGAGACATATGCATTGTGCTGCCAAGAGCCACAAACAGACCTCAGACTGGATCCCCAACCACCGACTGTATTTGTAGTTTTTTTTTTTTTGTTTGTTTTAAATTCCATTGAAGATGGCTTTAAAATTGGTCTTTAAACGTCTTAAATTTGACTTGCTGAAACCTGCGGAACTGGAGACGGTATCCAGGAGTGATAATGATGATTATTATCACTCATTATTATCAGTGATAATAATGAAGTCTAAAACCACCATGTTCTGTGTTCCAGCTGCATCAGTACAAGGAGCTGAAGGAGCTGGCCCAGAAGCAGAGCGCTGTCCTCTGCCAGCAGGCCGACAAGCTGCACTGGGAAGTGAAAGCAGACAGTGAAAAGGTGGTTTTTGACCAGCGCAGAAAGAAGGAGATAGAGGTGCGTTTTGTCATTCCTCGTCGTACGAGCTCCATGATGTTTTGATGATAGCTGGATGGCCATAAGTCTCTAGGAAATATGTCCATTAAATCCTCTGTGCTTCAACTGAAACATATTTTGTAGGTTGCCATCAGAAACAACCAAACTCACCTGGAAGAATTCATGAGTAGAGAAGAGAAACTAGAGGAGTACACCCAGAAATGCAAGTAGGTCAAATATATTTGGTCTCTAACACAGAATTTCAATCACATTTTTTCTTATTCTGGGAAAGTCTGATTTAATGTAACCTGGAAAGAAAGTGCAACAAAGTTAACATTTTGACCCAGGAAGTCGCTTGAAGATCTTGATGAGCGGCAGCAGAGCCTGACTGCAGAGCTTCAGCATGTGACCCAGCGTGGTGAGGAGCTGAAGCAGGAGCTGGACCAGGTGATGGAGGAGCTGAGGAGCGCTCGGCTGGACAGCCACGAGACCAGGAGGCAGCAGCAGCGCCGGGAGCTGCTGGAGAAACTCCGCAGACTCTACCCTCAGACGGTCGTAAGACCAAAACCCCGACAGCGGTAAAACAAACCCCGCAGTGGTCCAGTTCGTCGCAAACTATTTGACCGCTTTGTGCCGTTTCAGTTTGGGCGCCTGTCCGACCTGTGCAGCCCGGTCCACAAGAAGTACCAGCTGGCCGTGACCAAGGTGTTCGGCAGATACATGAACTCTATCGTGGTGTCGTCTGAGAAAGTCGCCCGTGAATGCATCGCCTTCCTCAAGGAGCAGCGGGCCGAGCCCGAGACCTTCCTGCCCATTGACTACCTGCTTGTACGTCACATCGTTTCCCTACAAACAGGTCGACAGCAGAAGTCCAGAAACTCACACCTCTGGCGCTGACCGAAGTGACAGAAGTTGCTGTTTGTATGGCTGCTTGAAATTCCTGAAAATACTTCAGTTTCTATTAGGCGTTTTTCAAGGTTTGGAAAGTCCTCCATTTCTGCCAATAATCTGGCAAAGCAACAAGACAAGTGCAAAAAACAAGTGCAGTTTTAGTTCCAGTGGCAGATTATAATTAGTATTTTTATCACTATTAAGGAATTATTGGCATAAAACAAGCCCCTATATTGTGCTGAAAAGTTACTTCGGAGTTAGTTTTGTCTTATATCAGGTACATCAAGATATTTACACTAAAAAATAGACAAAAATATTTGGTAAGAGTTTGGTGCACCGTTGAGTTATCAAAGCGATGGACTCAGAACTGAACCTTTAGTCACATAAAGACAATTACAAAGTCAGTCTTCTATCACCGGAAGAACATTTCTAGGATTACAGATCCTTGATATTGATATCTAGACTGCACAGTTTTGTAATAAAGTAATGCATAACATTTGATTAAAGCCTAAATTTGGAAAACCAGATATCATCATACACCTAATAAAAGGACGGATGCCAGTCAAAAGGACAGTCAATCAGACTAAACTTTCAGTTCCTTTCTGTTGTTTTTGACTCTAAAGTAAAAGGAGAAAATGTGTTTGAATTTGACTGTGGGAAAAGCAGATGAACTCTGACCCTCGCTCCCCCTGGTGTTCAGGTGAATCCTCTGAACGAGCGCCTGAGGGAGATTCCAGGTGTCAAGATGGTGGTGGACGTGGTGCAGGTGAACACCGGCAGCGCTCAGCTGGGGAAAGTGGTGCAGTATGTCTGCGGCAACGCCTTGGTGTGCGAGACCATGAGAGAGGCCCGCAGCGTGGCCTTCGACAGACCCGACCGAGTCAGAGTAAGCCCGACGCGGAGCTCGTTTTATGTTGCGTCGCTGCTGTTCCTTACGAATATGTGCTAATCGCCGGTATGGGCTGCAGACGGTCACCCTGGATGGGACGCTATTCAAAACGTCCGGTGTTATCTCCGGAGGCTCCAGTGACCTGCGGACCAAAGCTCGCTGCTGGGAGGAGAAGGATGTGCGGCGTCTGAAGGAACACAGGGACCAGCTGATGAATGAGATGCGCGTTAGTCAACTAAATAAATTGCATGAAATGCTTTCACCTCGTTTGGTTCATTTTGCTGCTGCTCTTCAGAGTGAATCTGACTTCTTCTTCAGGACTTGTCGAGACTGAAAAGGAAGGAGGCTAATTTAAATCAGATCTTGGCTGAGTCTCAGGGAGCCCAGACCCGTATGAAATACACCCGGACGGATCTGGAAATCCTCCGGAACAAAACCATCCCCAAATGCCAAGCGGTAGGAGCACAGAGCTGCTGTGAGGTCTCTCTCTTATCTGACTGCTGGACACACATCTGCTGGTGCAGAAAAAAACAGATTCTATAGAGAATCACAATTCCTAGTCCGGATCATTCTGAATCAATTCAAAATGCTCAAAAATTGATTTTAAAATTAAGCTGTACGTCTTTGCTGCTCCTATTTGCAAGTGTGCTGCATCTCACATTACACAGCCACTGATTCTCCTCTTCAGATCAAACGTGTTGTCAGTTTTGTGCCTCTGACGGGTTTCAGGAGATCTCCCGTCTAGAGAGCGAACTATCAAACCTTGAGTGTCAGATCGAGATGCAGCAGGAGGATCTCGAAGCGAAAGATGCAGAGATGAAGAGGATCAGAGAACAGATCGATCAGGTGCAGCCTCTCCAACACGTTTACATTTAGAAAAGAACATTTTAGGTTGCTTAACTCTGGAGGTCCTGGGTTGTAAGTGTGCAACTAACGATTAATTATATACAAAATGGCACATTCTATAGATTTCTTTTTATTTAACCACTAAAACTTATTTTATGCTGTATTAGAAAAACATTAAAATATTCAAATAACTTGATTCCTTTTTTAAATGAGAAAATTTTATTGCCTAATATGCAACAACATAGCATTACTTTAGTAAATAAAACTCCACTTAAGGATTTTTGGCCAGAACCGTTTATATTTTTTTGCACAGTTTTTGCTCAATGATTGCTCTGAATGTGTTCTCAGCAAGTGCCCATTTTTGAGTCTAATGATTAATCAATTGCTAAGTTGAGGATTAATTCAACAATCGATTAATCACAATTAATCAGTTCAGCCCTACTGGAAAAATAATACAAGGACTTTGTTTTAAGTTTCTGTCAAGTTTTTATTTTTATTTTTTTTATTTTATTTTTTTACCTCATTTGTAGTTGTGTTTTGTGTACAGTGGACCGCTGGTATTCACATTTGCAAACTGTTAAAACTCCCTTTAGAAGGTTTTACTGCCAGTTTTAATAGTTTACACATCAAATATAGACCAATGTGGAATCGTACGCCGAGTGGAAACCCTCTTAGCACTAGAATATAACATCTGGAGTCTTCCTTATCTCCTCTCTTGAGGGTTCAGCCAATCATCCTCAGGGAAAATAAGTGCAGCTCCTGGATTGGTTATTTTGTAAAGGCCAGCCAATCACATGTCCAGTAGAAGTTCTGGCTTCCCAAGCTGCATTTACCTTCTAAGATTTTGAATATGGAAAACCTGTAATTTTTCACACATAACTATTCTTCTTGAGATTGGCACTATTCTGTTATTATTCTGTTCTATTCATAGATGGTGTTGGGAAGGTAATTGTGCTTGGGATCATGTCATGTTTAACTGTGTGGATCTTGTGTTTTTAGATCGATGACACAGTGTTTGCAGACTTCTGTGCTAAGATCGGCGTGGAAACCATTAGAGAGTTTGAGCAGGAACACTTAAAACAGAAGGCGGAGCTCGACAAGAAACGGTAAAACACACGTGTGTGTTTACATTGTTGTATGTATGAAGTTTAACCTGGCTAATTTGGTAGGATTATGAAGAAATAAGACAGAAGAACTCCTCCTCCCTTTACAGGTTTGTCCTGTTTTTCATCAAATTAATGTTAAAAGTTGCCAATAAGAGCTGGAGTAGATATAAAAATCTGTGTAAAAATAATAATTTAATGTATAAATACAGCCAAACTTGGTCTTATGTGATTATTTAGTGACAATTATTTAGTCATGAAATATCCCGTTATCCCACTTTTTATTGATTTTAACCAAGCAAACACAGGTCCGATTACTGTCGGAACTATATGATCCAGAAGTCATTTAGATAAGACCTTTCTAACAGGAAGTAGGCTAAAAGAACACATCAAGGTCAGAGGTCAATTTAAGAGTAGAGATGAAGCATTTACACAAAAATATTAAAATGCACACAGAAACTCAAACATAGGACCCTAAATGACCTGTTTAGACAGTTTAGCAGAAAAAAATTACACTTTAAAGTCAAAGTGACTGAAATGAAAATAGTTGGCAGTTGTTGAATGAAGGGCTCTATAACCAATTATGTTGAAGGAGCTTTTGCTTTAAATACTTTTATAAGTGAAATCATTTAAAAACTCTTTGAATTGACTCTTTAAGATTAAAATGATCTGAAATCTTAAAAAAATATACTTTTTTACTGCATTAAATATTTCAGTGTGGCCCCTAATTTACCCCTCTGAAGAGCCCTTTTGTAATGAAGGTCGTTCAAGATTCACATATCTTTCCCCGAAGGCTGGAGTTCGAAAGTCAGCAGGCCCGCTTGAACGCTCAGCTGGAATATGAAGCAGAGCAGCTGGCTCAGGAGAGGAAGAAACTCAGCAAAATGGAAGACACCATCAGGAAGGAGGAGCAAGCCACGGTGGAAAGCAGAGAGGTGGAGCCACTTTCCTACCTTTTGTGTAGCAACAAAGAGAAATAGGAGTAAATAGTTGCTGCTTTTCCATTGACCTTAAAATTTTGCAAATTAGAATTACGAAGTTGGAATTCGCTCAACGGAAACCCGGCAATTTTGCAAAATCCTTTTCCATAAGACGTTTTTGCGCTAGGATGAGGTGATTTATTGAAATTAGTGTATTTTGCAGAACTAAAATGGACACAATATTTTTCGCATTACACGAGTCACAGGATCAATAATCTGATGTTTCTACCGGAGGAAAAGATGGAGAAAATGACAGGAAGTGGTAGGATGATGATGGCGTGGCATTTTTTAAATGATTTATCACATGAACAAACTTATTCACATGTGACTTTGATATGTTTTTTTTTTGTTTTTTTTTGACATGAGCAGAATGTTGACCAAATTTTGCGCACATTTGTAATGGAAATATGCGCAACAAGTAGCCCAATCTTCGGTTTCCTCCCTTTGCTGTTATTGTCGATATATGATAACAGGCATTTAGCTTTGTGTTGTTTATTACCTGTTCTTTAAGTTAACTTTCACCGTTTTTCCCGCAGGTTGAGAACAATCTCCTTGAGACGGTAGAGGAGGTTCAGAACAAGCTTCTGGAGATGAAGAACGAGCTGCTCCTTAAAAAAAGCCAGGTGGCCTCAGTCAAAGCTGAGCTCAACCAGAAAACTCAAAAGCTTCAGGAGACAAACAAGTAAAGATCCCTCCAGTACCGGCACTTTCTCATCCCGTTTAAAGCAATCCGTCTCTGAAACACAGACCGATTTGTACAGCTGCTGTCGTCTTTTTGTTTTAAAGCTTTAAAATAATCCACAGGTGTTCTGAAGTTTCCAGTCTCTTTTAAAGAGACTCTTCAAATTAATTTGGATATAAGGCTTCTTAATTTCCAAAGGTGGTTAAACATTGAATAAAAATTGCACTAAAATTTGCGAATGAAATCATAATAGGTTTTTTTGGGCCTCCTGATTGGCTGCTGATATTTTACTACCAGGTTTCATTCTATATTTAAGGGATTTCTTCCAAACCTTTAAATTCATAGCTTCTTCAAAATCTACAAGTTTCATATACAAGTGTATAAATTCTGTTTATTTTAACACAGAGATGGTAAAAAAAAATTTAAATGATAATTTTCCAAACTTTAAAGAAAATACTGTAATTCATACATAGCAGTTTAATCTTGAGGTTCCCAAATAGGATTAGCTTCTCTGTTGGGACCCACAAACAATGCTACAAAATATGTAGAGAAAATTTGACTTCCAGAATATATATATATATATATATATATATATATATATATATATATATATATATATATATATATATATATATATATATATACACACACACACACATATATATATTGCATAAATGCTGCCTCATTTCTTCTGATTTTAGCGGGCCAAGCTATGCTAGCATGAGGAGCAAAGGAACTTAACAAATCTGACTGACTAATCAGAAGGATGAAGCGTGACAAATAACATTTTAATAAATTATTTTAACTTATGTTCTATAATAATGCTTGAAAAAACAGATTAAATTTTATGATGAAACTTTTCTGGTCAAAAAAAATGGTATTAGATTTTTTCATTTAAAAGTTTTTTTTCCTCACTCCCTCCAGTTTTCTGTCGCCTCTGTGGCGCCCCCTGGTGCTTCAGTTATGCCAGATCAGAACTCTCACAGAACGTGCCTCATTTTAATAAGTCAAAAATCAGACCCAGTCCGTAATCAGTGCTGAAAAAAAATCCCTCATTGATGTTATAAATGAATAAATGTGACTTAGAATTCAAAGTCAGCTGCAAGCTTTTATATCATGATTATGTGTTTATTTAAGAATCTCCATTAGTCTCTACCACAGTGCAGACTATTCCTCCTGGGGTCCACACCACAAATCAATGCAATAAAAATCATGTTTTTACAAATACTACCAAAAAACGACATAGTGAAATACCTTAAGACACAAACAAACTCAAAACATTAAATTCAAGTTGACCACCTCAACAATTTTAACATTTTAACAAACATTCCAAAAGGACATAATAAAATACCTTAAAACACACAAACAAAATTAAAACACAACATTTCAACAATTTCAAGGTTAGGTTAAAAACAAACTGATTATTACCATCAATCATTTGCCTGTTTTTACACGAGACTGTACAAGAAGAAGTTTGTTGGCGGGTGTAACAAAGCTTTTGGTTGAGGTGGAATTTGAAGCATGTTTGACCAAATTCTAATATCTTTACACTAATGGAGCCTGGAAGTTTGTGTTTTTATAGTCTAATGATCCAGAAAACTGCTGTTGGTGTTTTTGAGAGCGTCGTTAGCGTTGCAGCGTTTTTTCTGCTGTGGCGTGCGTTCAGAGAGCTGACGAAGCTTCAGCGCGAGGTCATGTCCGCGGAGACGGCTTTGGAGCAGAAGCGCATGGCTCGACACAACATGCTGCTCGCCTGCAAAATCCAGGACCTGCAGATCACCATGCTGTCAGGCAGCCTCAACGAGATCAGCGAGGTGCAGGTGGGGCTTCTGTTTCAGTAGCTTGACTGGTTACGGAATGAAACTGGAATAATATCAAAGCCTTGTATTTGTCGTTTTCCAGCTCATGACGGATTCAGAAAGTACCACAGCCACGATGGACATTTATGAACGAGAAGCTCAGTTCGTTATTGATTATTCTGAGCTGGAAGAGGAGCTCACGGTGAGAAGAAGGTTATGATAGTTTGGGGTTTTTCACTATAGTTTGGTTTTATTTCATTGGTTTGTCTAATGAAAACACAACAGAAGATGCCATTTTCAAAAAAAACTATTTGATTGTTGTTGAAGAACCAACTGACTGTAGTTTTCTCCTAACTTTTGCTGTTGCCATTTTGTTTACTGGTGCTGTAATTTTCTGTAAACTGTATTTTGGGGGGGAAAATAAACAGTTTCACATCAGTTCGAAAGGCTAATAAGTAGATCCAGAAATACAAAAATGGAGGATATTGTATCTATAATTTCATTCTGTTTCACTTAGTTTTATAAACTCACAATATAGTTCCAGTTAGTTATAGTTTGTACTTCAGTTAACAAAAATGTTTTCTCGATTTCAGTTTTTGTGATTTGGTTAGTTTTAGTTGACTGTAATAACCTCAGTCAGCTAAAATTCAGCCGGGTGAGAGATCAGCTGAATTATTTTTCCACTCAACTTCAGTTGGACGTTCAGTGTGCGTGTAATGACTGTATTTATTGACAGCGTCTGCGTGATGAGGAGCAGCTGGAGGCTCACATGGAGAAGCTGAAGGAGTCGGTCTCCTCTCTGGAGGAAGTGCTGCAACGCACCACTCCGCCTAACCTGAAAGCTCTGGAGAAAATGAGGAATGTGAAAGACAAGCTGCAGGGGGTGACTGAAGGTGGTTTCATTTTCCTGCCGTTTTGTGTCTTTGCTCTTGAGTTTTACCTTCTAGCATAAAGATATTGACAGTATTGATGCCATAATATCTCCCAAGAGTCTAAACCAAACCCCAAAAAAGAAAAAGAAAAGTTTGTTCAACTGTTGGGAGCTGAAAGAAGTACTTTGTGAAAATGTACTAGGGCTGTACTTTCTGTTGAGATATCCAGAAAGTTTTCTGACCCTAATCAAAGAAAAATATTCTCAAAAATTTGCTTTGCCTTCTATTTTTGTTGTTTTACATATATCAGTCATCTAGCTGTCTGGGAATGAAACCTAAATGTTTAATTACCCAATCAATAAGAAAATAGGTCCAGCTGTCACTGCTACTTTTACTTTCAAGCATTTGGCATCTTTATCAGAGCAGACACTGCCGTGTATTTGAGTTGCACTGGTTCTGTAACTTATTTATCAAACTGTTATTGCTGCAGTGCCTAATGTGAAGTAAGGCTACATCATTTTTGTTTGGATTACCAAACCGGACGACGTTCACATGTTACATATAAGAACCGTTGTTTCTTTATTTAGAAACAGTGGTTTCTAAATAAAATTTCCTAAATGCATTGTTAGGTTTAGTTTTCCTGTGACTGATAAACTTGGCCTCTCTCTTCCTCACTCAGCCTTTGACGCCAGCACCAGAGCAGCCAGGAGGTGCAACCAGGAGTTTGAGCAGGTCAAAGCTCAGCGGTTCCAGCTCTTCAGTCAGTGCTTTGAGCACGTGATGCTCGTCATCGATCACATCTACAAACGGATATGCAGAAACAGGAGTGCCCAGGTGAGAGCACTCCACACAAACCCCCTCTGAGGACTGCAGGACTGGCTGGTGTAAAACACAAAACCACGGCAGACACAGGAACAAGTCGGCCATCTTTTTCACTGCTCGTGTTTTCTCTGTAGGAAAACAGTGACCAGAAACTTCTTATTTGCTGTTTTTTTCCCCTTATTAAACTGTTGATCTGTTCTTAAATGACCATATCTGAATTTGATCTTTACATGAACATTTTCCATGGGGCTGCAAGGCCATTCTGAGTGCTGAAAACCCAGAGGAGCCATATTTAGGTGGCATCAACTACAACTGTGTGGCTCCAGGGAAGCGCTTCATGTCCATGGACAATCTGTCTGGTGGAGAAAAGGCCATCGCCGCTCTCGCTCTGCTGTTTGCAATACACAGGTAACCTGGGTTACCAGGTTCAAAGAAATCATTTGCAAAGTGTAATTGTTATTGTTGTTGTTATTATTTTTCTGTCCGTCATTAATGAATTAAGTCTTGTGCCTCTTCCTTTAGCTTCCGTCCAGCTCCTTTCTTCATCTTGGATGAGGTGGACGCAGCTCTGGACAACACCAACATCAGCAAGGTGCAAACCTCGTTGCTATGGAGAACGCATCTGGATAAAAACAGCAATAAGCAGAAATAAATAAATGGCTCCATAAAGTCATTTATGTGTTAAATATTGCATTCAGAAAAAAACACAATAAGAACTTTTCTAAATTATTTGCCAGTACAGAGAATCAGTGTGTATTTACCATTTTCAAAATATTAGTTTAAATATAATTTAATTTGATAAATCTGCAAATAAATGAGCAAAGTAGAAAACAAGAGTGTAAAAAATGCAAAGAGG